TCAAGTTCGTTCATTCAAGTGAAATTGCAGAAATGCGTTTCTATTACACTGTATCCAAACAAAATTTTGACGGTAATTTTCGCCGTACAAACTGGAGTGGCCAATTAAAAATTTACACTTTCCAATGTGTGTCACGAGAGAGTGTTTCCTTCAATTCATATAATTTTCTTTATTAAACCAAGATTGAGATGCATTTGTGTTTGTTTTGAAACGCGAGTTGAGCGAGAAAATTGGGTGAAGTTGTCTTTTGTTGATCGATTTCATCTGAATTGCTTAGCTGCGATATCGTAGGTGACAGCTATGTTAGTGCATATTCTCGAAAGTGCGATGTTTTATTTGTGCTGAAAGTTGTTGTAAGTGGGTAATTTGATCATTCAGACATTTGGATCTGAATTCGCTCTGATCTCTCCATTGGGATCTGCAAGCGCTCAACATGAGTACTAATTATTGTGTACAAGAGTCGTCTTGTATGTCAAATCGTATTCATCAATAATCTTTATTTAAAGCACTTTCATCGAACTAAATTTGAAAGCATTTATTTGATTTTCGTATCGCTACATACGCAAACAAAAGCTTATACAATATCATTTTAAAGCACACAATATTTGACTTATATGCGCATATTACAATATATGATAATATCAAAAATCAAATGAAATGAATGCGATATAAAATATTATAGAAAAATAAATATATATTTATGCTCTGATTATAAATGAGAGAAGCAAAGTGAAAAGCCTGACCCGCGTGTGAGAATATTTACACTCTAAATTGGGGTGGCTTTTTCAACTTTGGGCTTCTTTCTGCATAGTCGTCGTCCATTCGGACCGATTGGTGCCCTCTCCTTGATTGGTAGACCGGCCATTCTACGACACGACAAATGATAGATTGTGCATGGACGGCCATCTGCACGTTTGAATTGTTTGATTGCAAGTTCGGGTTTCTGTGGCGGCTGATAGATCAACTTATGAAGTGGTACACCGTCGTAGCATGGCAGGCGATATTTGCATTTGAGCTTTTTGGCGGCCGACAACGGTTTTGCGCGAGTTGTCACGACTGGTGGAACGGCAATTTGCATATACTTGGCTTCTTTCTCGTCCACCGGAGGTTGTTTCATTTTTTCGGCGCTCTTCTTGCCTTTCTTCGCCGACTTTTTGCCACGTTGTTGTTGCTGCTCCTCCTCGTCAAGCGCAGCAAGTTCTTCGGCGGTTCCGGCTCCTTCAAGAAGTTTCGCACGTTCGTCGCCTGTCACCCGAACTTTCACTTGTTCTTTTCCGGAAGTTGGTGTTGGCTGTTGTTCGATGACTGCTTCGGCTCCTTTACGTGTTCGTTTCGAATCTTTCACTGGGATGCCGTAGTTTGCGTAGCAAGATTTACGATATTTGCATCGTAAATGTACCGACAGTTCACTCTCTTTCATCGTATCAGCAATTGTCTTAATGGTTTCCACTTCGATTTGTGGCAATTTTCCGGTTGCATAGCATGATTTACGATATTTACAAGTCAATTTTCGCTCCTCTTCACTCATCTCACGACGAATCTCTTCTGTTTCGGCGTAGAATTCACTCAGAAGATTCTTTATCGCCGTCACAATGTGGTACTGTTGATCGATTTTGGGCACCTCACCGGTTTCATAGCAAGACTTACGATATTTGCATCGAAGCGCTATTGGTTTGTGTTCATCCTTGACCACCACTAGATGCTGAACGGTGAATGTGTCGCCGATAGGGGGTAGCACACCGCTTTCGTAGCAAGATTTACGAAATTTGCAACGGTATTTCAACGGTTGATGTTGTTCCTCTTTCTTGGTGATGTGCTTGATTTTGAAACCCTCGAATGGATGCGGTAGTGTACGATTGTGATAACATGATTTGCGATATTTACAGCGCAACTTCTCTTCCAAAGTATCCAGCACGCCTTCAATATGAACTTCTTTAATTGTCGGTTTCTTTTCGACAATCTCCGATTCATCCGGTGGTGGCGGTATGTAGCGAATTTCTCGGTGTGGTACTGAAAGTTGTGGTTTTTTGCGGATTTCGAAAGGTCTTCTCACCTTTGTGACGTTTTCGGGAATCTTTACGAATGGTTTTTCCTGCACTGCTTCCACTGGTTTTGTCTCGTTCTGAATTTCTTCTTCGACTTGTTGGGTGTCGGTGACCATTTGCACAACAACTGGTTCTTGTGTTGTGACACTTTCCACTGGTTTGACCTTTTTAGCTTTCGGTTCCTCTTTCTTAATCTCCTTGATCGGTGCAGGTGTAGCAGGTTTTTCATCTGTTTTAACTCGTTTTTGTGGTTCCTCTTTCTTCTGCTCTTTTCCTTCCGGTTTCTTTTCCACTTCCTTTTCCTTTTTAGTTTCCATCTTGGCCGGTTTTGCCTTCTTTAATTTTTCGGTTGTTGTGACATTGACCGGTTTCGTTTTTTCTTTCTTCTCGATCGGTTTCTGTTTTTTGATTGTTTTTGAAGGCGGTGGCGTTGATTCTGGTGGTACTTCGGCTTCAGCAGCCACTTTTCTCTTTTTATCAACCGCTATTTTTGGTTTTTTCTCTAGACGTTCATCTGGTTTAGGGGCAGTTGGTTTGAGTTTTTGTGGTTTGGCTCGTTTTTTCGTAGCAGGCATTTCCTTCTCAGCTACTTCTTCTGGCATTTTCTCATCCGCCAATGTTATGTTTTCTTCGAGTTGCTTCTCTCCTGCAACATCTTCTACTTCTGGCAATTTCTCCTCTGCCGATGTTACGTTTTCTTCTAGTTGCTTCTCCTCTGGAACACCTCCTAGTTCTTCCTGTTCGGCCATCTCAGCGACTATTTTCGGTGGTTTAGTTGAAGTTGGTTCAGGTTCAAGCTGAGGAGCTTTGGCGGCCTTTTTGCTTGCCAGCTTAGATGCGGGTATAACGACACGTTTCTTTGGTGGTGGTGGAGGTGGCGGAGTTGGTAGAAGATGCTTAATTTCCGGATATTCCTTTGTTATGTTCACGTAACAGCTCTTACGGTACTTGCAATGTACCTTAAGTTGTAATATGGTTTCAACTAACTTCTTGACGGGAGGTGATGCTGGTTGTTCGATCTCACTGAGATAATGTGGTGCAGTTCTGAGATCTGGTACAATGCCGGTCTCGTAGCAAGATTTACGATAATGGCACATGATTTCAAGTGGGATTGCCGCCTCTTCTTTATGGATCACGTAGCGATACGTGAAGCGTTCCTCATGATCAATAAACGGTTTAATGCCACTCTCATAGCATGTCTTACGATACTTACAGTACAGCTTCTTGTGATCGTCGTCGAGTTGTGCGAAACTAACATTCGCTATGCTCTCCTCACCGGGTGTGTGTACGTGTCTTACGATGAAACGATACATACGCATAAACCAGTTGTCACCGAAGTCAATTTTTGGCTTCTCACCGGTTTCATAGCATGATCGGCGATATTTGCATTCCAGTCGACGACGCATATCACGATCCGCTTCGCTTAGTTTCTTCTCAACGATAGCCATCTTCGGTTTCGATAGCTGTGCCACTTTTTCGATTCGTTTATCGATACGTTCCAACGCGATTTCGGCGATCTCTTTCACGCTTCGTTTCTTGTGTACATGCACCAAGTGTAGCTTTCCACGTCCAGACAACAGCGTACGATGTTTTTTGGCGGATGCTTCATATTGTTCTTGCTCATACTGTGCGCCAATCTCATCGTAACACGATTTGCGATATTTACAGAGAATCTTAATTTCGGCTTCACTCAACTCTTTCGTTTCAGTTTCGTCGCATGGTTCACGTTCCACTTTAGGTGCCACTTGTAGAGGCAAAACGCCAGTTTCGTAGCATGATTTTCGATATTTGCATAGAAGTTTTTGTTGTGGAACTGTTAACTGCGTTATAATGATATGCTTACGTTTTGCCATCATTCGAGCATGCTTTCGTTGGAGTTTGATTTGCTCGAGGTGATGCCTTAGTGGATGATATTTATGATGTCCGTGAACTGGAGGCGTTTTGTTCTCGGATGCAATTATACTGTATTTACGGTGCGGTTTTGCAGCAGTTGGAATTGCTTCTTCTGTTTCCTCGTCGCTCACTTCTGATGATGGTTCCTGCTTCTCCTCGTCGACAGTGGACGGTTCTTTTCGCGCTTTTTGTTTTCGTCTCTTTGACACAGTCTTAGGCTTGACTGTCTCTTCCTCACCGCCCTCGATTTTCACTTCCGATTCTTTAGGTTCTTGCTGAACTTTCGGTTTAACAGTGTCATCTTCAGTCGGTGCATGATTCATTGGGAGTTTTGCTTGTTGGATTTGTTTCTCCACTTCAATCCATTGTTCCGGTTCAGGAATTTCACCAGCTTTCTCCATATGTTCCAAGTAGGTTTGTTCACCTGCGTGCTGTAGATAACAACTCTTCCTGTAGTGACAACGAACCTTCAGTTCGGCCACACTTCGAGGCATCTCTTTCCATGGCATTTTCACTTCCGTTTTGTCCTCTTCCTTCGGTTTTGACCAGCGAAGCGTTGGCACAATTCCGGTCTCATAGCAAGATTTGCGATAGTGACACTTCATCTGAATCGGTATCTCGGCTTCTTGCTTCACCACCATATGCAAATAATTGAACTTTTCCTCAGCGCCGATCAGTGGTTTCACCTTCGTAGCGTAACATGATTTGCGATACTTACAGAAGAGTTTCTTCTTGTATTCTTCATCTTTGTCGGATGTGGTGACATTTTCTGCAGCTGTCGTTTCATTAGTTGCTAGCATCGATGGTAGTGGAATGTATTCGATCATGAACTCGTACAGATCGGACACGAGCCCGTGATAATGCGGTTGTTGTTGCACAATCGAAACGATTCCCGTCTCGTAGCAAGATTTACGATATTTGCACTTCAACTGTTTGATACGCTTCTCTTCCAGTTCGTTCAGTTTCTTCTCCACTATCGCCATTTTTGGTTTTGGCCGTTGAGCGCCACGTTTCTCGCGTTCGTCAGCATGCTTCAACGCAATTTCGGCGATCTCCTTCAGTGTTCGCTTTTTGCGCACCTTTGTGCCATAGGCCATCATCGTGTTCTTGGCGGTCAAAACCCGATGAGTTTTTCGTGCTTTTTGCGCCGCCTTCTTGACACGCTCGTCGTAGCTAACGCCCAGCACTTGTTCGTAGCACGATTTTCGATACTTGCAAAACACCTTCAACGCCAGATCATTAAGTGGTTCGCCGCTGTGTGATGGTGCTGGTGCTTGATGTTGCTGCCCAGCAGCATAGTGATGAGCGTTTTGCTGTATGGCCAAACACACTTCACGAGGCGTCGCTAGCTGCTGAAGTGTTGTACGATAGAGTGTTTCCAGTGGATGCTGGTCACTCGAGTAGCACGATTTGCGATACTTGCACAGCATACGACGTTTACGTAGCGGGAGACTGGATAGGTTGGGTAGATGCTTCTTATGAGCCATCGTAATGGCATGTTTTCGTTTAAGTTTCAAAATTTCCAGCTTTAGTTTACTGATACGTTTCTTGCGAGTTTTCTCGAGGTTCCTGTTGCGAGCATCTTCCTGCTCTGACGCTACAGTTTCGAGGGTATCGTCATTATCATCATCCACATCATCATTATCATCGCTGTCAGCACGCACTGATGCTGAAACAAAAAATCCTGGCGTCGATTCAGCGGCCGAATATTGGTTTCGTTGTTGCCTTTGGCGGTATTGAGCATGATTCTCCGAAGGAGTGTTCAGTGTTATTTGAGTTATAGGACGTTCGGCAGACGTAGGAGTATCTTGAAGCAGGATTTGGCTCACATCGTAGTCGTTACAAAAGTAGATTAGATGCGGAATGGGGATGTTCCATTTGCCTTGATGCGTACACTTTGCGACACTTTGCACAATTCTGTTCACTTCGGTTCGTTTGTTGGTTTCACCTGAAATGTGAGGATAATATTGAATCGATAGGATGCGCGCATAGGTTTAAAGAAGAATGCGATAATGATG